CCACTCAACTAAGTGGAAATAATATGATGTAAAGAATACAGAGAATAATTTTGTTTACATATTTATGAAAATAAAATAACATAAATTATAAAATAACATAAAATACATAAAAGTAAATTTACTTTTCTGAGAATGTTTAGGCCAGCAGAGAAGGCCTTGCTGGCCCTCAGGGTCCGCCACTGAGTAGTAGTATCAGTATTAGTATTAGAATTAGTATGGAAACCTGATGTGCTAGAGAAAAAAACGAGGGCAGATTCGGAATCTATGAAAAAACAAAAAATATCTAGAAAAGTTTCCCTGCACCTCTGATTAAATAGGTTTGGAAAATGTTAAATGTGTGCAGATTGCCACCTACAGACGGGCTTTGCTAATCAAACTTGGCTTGCTCTGACCAACCAATCAAAGGCTATAAAATGTGAGGTTATTGTGGGACAGCTAGCTGGAACTATGAGGGAAATTTTAAATATGACTGGTTAAAAAAACCCTCCTCCATTACTAATACTTTTTAAATTACGTAGGCCAGAACTACTGTCTCTGAAGGCCATGAGCAGACTATTTGAGGATGCCTTGAGCCAGAGGCTTGTTGGCCATAGGGAAGTTTGGGAGGACCCATGCATTCCAGGCCGAAATTGTGGCACATCAGGGCCAATCGTCCCCCAGCGCACCTCCACTGTCAACGAAGTTCCTGCGCACATCGGCCGTAAATCGAGTGCACAGTCCATGTCTATTGAAGATGGTCATGGCACAGGATTTACACAAATACAAAGTTTATAAGAGAAACTTGGGAAAGTATTCTTTGAATAACCATGTGCTGCTTTTGCTGTAAGGTGTTTCCTTCTTGCGAGAATAGTTTCAAGTCACCTTTGAATTCATCCAGAACTCCTCAATATTAGTTAAGTCCGGGGTATCAATCCACTGTGTTGATGACTCAGGGGGCTCTGTGCAGGCTGGAATTGTTTATGATTGTAGTGACTGCCAACAAGGCCGCCTGTCTCTAGCTGTGGCCGGCTTCAATATCACACATGGTCGTGTGAGTTAGGTGGAGGTTAAAGTGGGCAGGCTTGAAGACAAGGCACACGTTTAGCACTATTTATCACAAAGTACTGCAGATCCACCAACTGTTAGCTCAGAAACTTGGAAGATACCCCCATATGTGGCGACTGCTCATCACTGATTAATTCCTGCAGCTGCTGATCAAGTGAGGTGCAATGTTCGGTCGGCAATGGATTTTTTGTAAGCTGCTCCTCAGTTTATGTCAGTTATCTGACTGGGTCTCATTCCCAACCAAGGTTACCTGTGAGTTCCCTTAACCTGCTGGAATGGGGTCGAACATCAGCTTCTCTGCTATCTGGAAAAATTGCCATGAGTGCTGTCGGAAGAAAATAATCCAAGATCACTTGTGAGGTCGTTATGTAATCCTGTCGACCAATATCTCTAACTGACTATTTAGTCCAGCTATAGAGGTAATGCTGCCTTCAGTTCACATGTATTTGAGGCCAAACCCAGCAGATTAACGACAAGTACTGATCTTGCAGTTGGCCATGTACAGTGTAGTAGTATGTATGAAAAACTTTGACTTGAAATGAAAGTCATAGAGTGAATCACTCTTTTTATAGAGTGTGCCTTTTGTTTTTGAAAGCAAACATATTTTTTTTGGTGCTGTGTGCTTCATACACCGAATTACCCGGCCACCAGTAAGATACGTATGCTCTACTGTGAGCGCTGAAGCTGCCTTGTTGAGCAAGTGTCATGGAGGAGACTCTAAAGCCAAATATGAATTCAAGAAGTGCCTTTTTGAAGTGGGGAAAAGACAATTGCCACATGGAAGGTTTGTAACTCGAAGGTAAGCGACGCAACATTCTACGGCATTTACTGTACCTTCATCTGTCAGGCGCAGGTAAGATAGCTGTGTGAACTGTGAAGCTAAGGGTTGACGCACCTTGCCTTATCTGACTAGGACCCGACATGGTCATTGCAAAAATGACAGTTGGCCACTCACCCCTGCACATTGGGCAATTTAGCATCAGGACTCCTTGCGATGTGAACTGTAATACTCTTAAATTGTTGTTCATTTAAGTTTTTTTGTGATGTAAATGCACTTTTGTGCATATGCACTTAATTTTTAGAGATATAAATAAACTTTTGTTGAGTTATGATCAGTGAAAACAGGTTTCATTGTCACTCCACTATATGAACTGTATGACTTGATTTATGGCCAGGGTTGGAAGGATAACATATTTGTAATAACTGTATCTGTAATCTGATTATCCCTTTTCTTTCTGAAACTGTAATGGATGACAGTTCCATTTTTCAAGTACTGTATCTTTAATACATACGTCTGGTACATACATTCCGTTACTTCCCAGGCCTTCTTACGACTTGCATGAACCAAGCAATGACTTAACTTGACTTGCTTGATATTTATTCACAGTAACTTGGGAATTGCTTTAGACTCGAAGGTTACGACTTGAGACTTACTTGCGAGCTGCACATATGTGACTTACTCCCACCACTGCTTTTCAGTCTCGGTAATACAATACCGCAGCAAATGTACGCGCTGATGCTCATTAAGCACACATCTACTCATTTCAGCAGTGAAGTGGAAAGTTTTCACATCAGAACAGTGGAAAGACTGATGTCAACAGTTTGCGTTTACTTTTTTTTTTGGGCTTTTTTTGTTTTCCAAACGATTGACCCACCTCAATTAGTGCAAGACAGAATGTGCAATTATAAGAAGAATATTTCAAGAATATATACTGGATACTCATGGTAGCATGGTGACCTCACCGTCCTGAGGTACAGGTTTCGAATCTCAACTCAGGCCTTCCTGTGAGGACGTTGCATGTTCAACTTTTGCTTGTGTGGGCTTTCTTTTCGGGTATTCAGGCTGCTTAACACCTTCCAAAAACATGCAAGTTAGGATGACTGAAGACTTTAAATTGTCCACAAGTCAATATTATTGCACAGTTTTGTTTCACCAGTGAGTATGTAGTTGCCCCACTAGTAAGCCAAAAGAAAACATTAGTCATAAGACACAGTCAACAGAGCGCTGAATTGTCTTACTAGTGAATGTACAGTACTAGTACAAGTGCAGACAGTATTAGGACCTTATGCTGGATATCAAGGATTTCGAATGAACACTCAAACAAACGGTATTTACCAAGGCTCATCCCATGTGGTGACGGATCCCTGCAGACACCTTTCTCACCACTAGAGTGAGTGCCGCCATCCTAAATTGGACCGCGCTAGGCAAAGACGAGCGTGGCTGAGAACAGCTGCGCCAACCAACCAAAGTTCTACTTACTTACACAGGATGTTTGAGAAATTGATTTTCAAAATAAGAGGTTTCATTACGTCAAGTCCAATAAAGCGCTGTAAACCTCAGCGAAATTTAATATTTTCCTTCTTCCATCAATATTATTAAAAAAAAAAAAAAAAAAAAAGATCAACCTCTCTAATGACAGCGTTAGTGCAATCCCTGACATAAACAATTTAACATTATACAGTAGTGCCACTGAAAAAAATATGTGGCTATTGGTCGATGTTTCTGAAACATACACGGGTTATAAATAGTTTAGGATTGTTCATTATCGTTAATTTTTATTTTGGTTTGACTTTTGTACTTTAAATATAATTAGCTCCGAGGTGTGATTGTGACCATGAATGATTGTTTGTCTATTTGTGCCCTGGTATTGGCTGGCAATCGGTTCAGGGTGTACCCCGTCTATTGCCCAAAGACAGCTGGGGTGGGCTCCGGCATGCCCACAACCCTCAAGCGGATTAGAAAATTGATGGGTGGATGGACAGTTTTTAGAGTTAGGCATTGCTATTCTTTTTCACCCTAGTAGCCTTAGTCATATTTTGACAAAAAGTTTTTAAAAAATTTGTTATACAGTATATATATTTTTTAATTATTTATTTTTTATTAATTTTTTTTTTTGCCTGAAACATCTCCTTAGGGTCATGGCCACGTCACAGAAACAGAAATGCTTGACCACAAACCTTTTGCAGTTTGAACATGTTCAACATTTCTTTATGACAATTAAAACAAAACAAAAAAAAAACGTTTGCGACAGTTAAAACTGTTGGCAAACATCTTTGCAACCTCTTGCAACCTTTAACGAACCCTGGTGAAAACCCACCATTCGCTAAATTCGCCAATCCTCACAAGCCATCTTAAATGTATTTTGACACCAGTTTTCACAATGGCTTTACCCTTTTTTCGAACACGTCAGATTTTTGAGACATTTTCATTTTTGTTTGGAGGTTTGCTTGCACAACACGGATTTGACAATTCCTCTTAGTTTCCAACTTCAGGAAAAATTGTACCTGAGGCCCCCTTCAATTCATAAATATTGAATATTGAACATTATTCCTTAAGATGTAACTATCATAAATATATTGCTGAGTTAAATAGTACACTTTTGTTTACTTATTATTGTGATTATGATTACGAAATTAACTCAATGTTAGCGACGGACAAACGTATGCGCTAGCCGTCTGAAGACAGTGTCATGAAACACCACGCTAGTTTTATTTTAAAAACAATCACCGGAAGTGAGATATGGTCTCCCTCGTATTACCTCCCTCGTCTTGACAGTCTTGCTCGGAGCCGGAGAGGGTCAGGGGGGAGGAGATGCAAGGGAGTGGAGCAAGACGATTCCGGGAGGCGCACCACAGGGTGACCACTTCAGCGGCACCATCCGTGGGCAGCTAGCCCCACCAATGGTCTTCCACCCGGAACGTCCACTGCCACTTCTTCGCCGGATCGCCTTGTCCGCTGCGGTCGCGGAGATGATCACAGTGAGTCCGCCGCGTCTTGCTCTCAAGTGAGCCGCCGCTTTGCACACACCATGACAGACCGACGCGTGTAATACAGAGTGTCCAATACGCAAGCACACGACCCCGAAGCTGTTGTACCTAGCCGCCTGGCGACTCTCCGTCAAAGTGGAGTGAATGACATAGTTGGAGGCCGCCATTCTTCTGCTGCTTGTTGGCAAAGGAGACGCGGCCGGTGCATGTTTTTCACTCAGACGCTAAGAACAACGTCAACGCCATCTGCGTGGCCGTTCGGGCTGTTGTATTTCTTGTTGTCACTCAACACAGACGCGCGCCTGCAGATTTGAGATTTTTAATAACACACGAGTCAAAAAACACCTCACTGGACGTCGCTTCCAGTGCAGTTTGTAGACAATCAATTGCAACGAATTGATGCTGAGGAACGTGCAGCAGCAATTGCATGTGTCGCTGTCAGTAATATGGAGGAGAATACTGATGCATAATACTGAATCGAAGAGGCTAAATGGCTGCGCGCGGCGTCTCTGTGTCGGTCCACCCGCTGGACCAACGGTCCCCGCTATGGTTGTCACATAGGCCACGCTGTTATGTAACAAGAAGCCGACGCTGTCTGAATGCAGTCCCTCACAACACGGCCTGCGCGTGGCCCTTTCTCTCTCTTGCATTTACATCACATCATTCGTGTGTTAGACTTGAACGCGTCCGAACAGAATGAGACATTAATTTCCCCGCAGATCGCGTGATTATTTGGAACATCTGGACGGCAGCAAAAGATGCGCAGCCTAGCGTGGGCATCACGTCGAAAATAGAGCAAGCTGCTTGATGAATGACTTTGTGTGTGTGCGTGTGCGTGCGCGCATGCGTTTGTGTACGTGTTTGTGTGTGTCCGCGCGCGCGTGTTTGTGTGTGTGTGTAAGGGGTAAGGGAATTAGCATCAATGTAGCGGCAGTCCCGTGAAAAACGGCCCCTGTAGGAATAGTCAGTCCCACGCCCTCCCCTATCCCCCACCCGTCCACCTCCCAAGCGAGCTCCACGCTCACAGCGACCACCGCGACGCGAGTGGGTCCACGCCGGTCGACCTTGTGCAGGGGAGAGGAGGGAGGAAGCCAGGGAAGGTGGAAGGGAGGGGGGGGGGTGTCTCCTTGAATCTGGTCGATGGGGAAGAAGAGGAGGAGGAGGAGGAGGAGGAGGTATTGGACGTGCCAGAGAAGGCGCAGGCAGGCAAGATGGAGCGAGGAAATGCTATTTTTGCTTCATCAACGCAGCATGCTCCTTCCGGTTCAAAATGCAGGTCTGCAGGCCTGATAACATCAGCCATCTAGGTGCTAAGACCAACAGATGTTTTCTACGTCAGTGCACCGTGAACTCACTCTACATACACAGAACCACACACATTTCAAATGACAGATTTACAGAAATAGTATTCACACAATATTTGTTTCAAGAAGTAACTTCATGTGTGACGTTTGCATTTCCCGTTATTCTTAAATTGGACCTCAGATATTGAACCGAGCTGGTACGCTGCAGTGGAAAAGCGATATGATTGAGCTGGAATAAACTTCCGTCTTCCTCATGATGCCGAACAGGACAAGCAGTGTGAACCAAAGATTTAACAGATAATCATGGAACGCACTTAAGTTTCAATTGTCATTTAGCCTCATTCTTCTTTAAATCCACCATACACAGCATTCATGTGTTGTTTTACTAGTTGGACTAAACGGTTGACTGGCCAGTGTACATGTGCAGTCCGATGACGATGCTGATCCACCAATATTTATTTGTCACCGAGACACTAGAAACAAGACTCCCAGTCACAGAGTCGTTTTAGCAGACTGGAGGTTTTGTGATTTTAAGGATGTGCTGCAGGGCTGTCATATCCAGCCATGCTGAACATTATCGACTACCGCGATATTCATCTTGACAGAGTCCAGTTGTCTAGTGGCATTTATATGCATTTATTACTCTTCTTTATCGTCGGTTGTGATAACAGACTTCAAGTGCAAAGTACAGCAACATACAGCACAGATGAAATTTCTTCCCTCTCAAACAGACAACAAGAGGAGCCGCTGCGGGTGCCCGCGCCACCATCAAAAGAACAGTTCACATAAAATGACAAAATAATGCAACACAACACATAAGACACAGACAGTCGTGCAAACTTAACCACTTTTCCTGCATACACTTTGTTGTTTGAAGAAGTTATAGATGAAAGAGGAGTGAATCAAAGTGTCCTTTTCAAAAGTGGATCAAAGACGCCATGCTGGATGATTAGGGTGCAGTGTACATTAACACAAAAAAATATATTACCAAAATGCACAAAGACACACAAATGGTTGTTTGGTTTTTTTTTTCTCCTCTATACCCCTCGCGATCGATTTGGGACCAGTCAGCGATCTACCGGTCGATCGAGATCGAGGTAATGGGCACCCCTGATCTAAAATGTGCCAATGTAATCATCTGTTTTGGGTGACCCCAATTATTTCTCTCACGAATCTGTGTTCAAATGTAACATAAAATGAAGGAGTGATAGTTTTTGTATCTTCAAATTGTTTTTTGTTTTTTTCTATTGTCAGAGTAAAATGAAACTCACTCTAAAAATTTCGATTTTAGAGAGTAGTTCAACTTTGTATTAACATATAGTTTTGTTTTTTTTAAAACAAAATGAGAAAGATGAAGATGGAAAAATGTTGAAACAAATTTTAGCTGATGGATGGTATTACCAGTAAGCAGCACCAATTTTTGGCGAACAGTGCAAAAGATGTACACTAGAACAATCTAAACTAACAGAGTGAACTAGTTGATAGTCTTGAGTGTTTTAGCAGGTATGCGAGACACCAAATGAACAAATTGCTTCCTTGTGAATAATGTAGACGAAAATGAGAATTCGGAAGTTATGATGCTCCATATGCTTAACATCATCGCTACTTGCAAATGTGCATGATAAATGCCAAGCTGACTGCGGTTTCAGGCTTGGTTCCAGTGGTGGCACGACTCGGCTCGTTATTGACTGTTTATCAGCATTTTAGGATGAATTTTTACGATGTAATCATTATTTTATTCCCATTGCATTGGGTGTCCATTATCCATGAATTTTGTCTATTTGTGTGCCGGGCTGGTCCCATTCCCCGGCGGAGGCCAACTGTACAGGAAATAAAGAAGTAGGCTTGCCCACATCTGATCTTCTCAGCTCTGATTTGTTGCTCATGTGTCATCACAGATCTTCAATGCTCAAGTAACTCTTGCTCTCTTTCTATCTATATTTCAATTTCTCCTCTAGACCCAGAGAAAGCCGTGGACAACGGTCTTCTTGCAAAGTTTTGTGGTTTGATCAGCATCTCGGGCACACTCAGAGACCCGGAGCTTTGTGGCGCACATTTTGACCCCATCAAGTCACTCCCCGTGTGCCGCCCTGCAGTGTGACTTCGTATAAATGAGTGAGACAGCTGCGAGGGAAAGGGCGGGGACATGTACCAGAACCCCAACAGGTAAGATACCAACCCAATCGGGAATGCATTTGAATTGTACTTATTTGTCTTTGATCTTTTTGTATCGCTGTCTTTACGCAGAATGTCCTGGTTCAGTGGTTTCCTAGTCGCCAGAGTGGATGACCGTAAGACCGCGTGGGGGGAGCGCAATGGCAAGAAATCCAAACGGAGGGGAGGCTCATCTCTCTGCAACCCACGTTACATGAGCTGTCTGCGGGATCCAGATGCGATGGAGCCTCCCTCCGGCGCCCCCCTCCACCAGCACCATCGTGGAGGGATGGCGGGGGCCGTGGGAGGCGGGGGCAACTTTGGAGCCCGTTGTGGATGGCAGGAAGACCACTACGGAAAAAGGGCCGGGCCCCATAGGGAAGGGGTGGGGCTGAAATCGGTGGACTTGGACTTTGAGGACGGCGAGCTGAAGGGCAGGAAAGGCGGGTGCAATGGAGGCGGCGGCGACATGGGAGACGACAGCGTCAGCGGCGCAGCTGGCGTCGTGACGGCCGCCGACTGTTGGCTCAGGGTGGTGCGAGTATTCCAATCGAAAAAGTTCCAGTCCCGCAAACTGGAACGTCTTTACCAGAGATACTTCTTCAGGCTCAACCAGAGCTCTTTGACCATGTTGATGGGGGTCCTCGTGATCGTGTGCGGCATCATGCTGACCTTCCACTGTGTCCATGCACCCCCTCACGTGGCCTATTCGTCCGCCTTGTCGGTGGCAATGGCGCTCTTCATGGCGCTTATGGTGGTGTGCAACCGCAATGGCTTCCATCAGGACTACATGTGGATGGTCAGTTATCTGGTCATCGGCGTCTTGGTGTCAGTCCAAGTGTTTGGGGTGCTCATGGTGGCACCCCGGAGCGCTTCAGAGGGCATCTGGTGGTCTGTGTTCTTCATTTACATCATCTACACCCTCTTGCCTGTAAGGATGAGGGCGGCGGTGTTTAGCGGAGCTGTACTGTCCATCATACACTTGGTGACCACCTGGCAGATCAACCAGGAGGACAGGTTCCTTTGGAAACAGGTAAGAAAGCTTGACACTTGACTGGTTACGCTGCTCGCTTTTCTCATCAGGGTTGGCGTATGTCAGGGGTGCCCAAACTTTTTGGACTGAAGACCGACTTTTCGATCAACCAACCTCCCGCGATCGACCCGTTACCGCGCACGCACAAACACACGCACGCCGTGATGAGCAACAGCCTGACACGGAGGCATGCAACGCACTTTTGTAGCCTGTTAGCTGTCGTAGCTCACACGTACCGTTTTAAAGTGCTTCCCTCGGCCATCTAGAAAAAAAAAGCGCACTACTTGGACATAACCAGCAGAGGCGCTATTGAATGAGTTGTGTTGATTGATAACGTAGCGTCGATGGGAGTTTCTCATTCAAGAAGAAATGTTTTTCTCAGTTCAACTCTGGCATCACACTATGATGTACAGAACATTCGGAGCGAGACTGATAACATCAATCAAGTGATTCATTGATCATTAATTTAATAATTGGTTCCCGTAAAAGGATCGAAGCATGTAGTCAAATTCGCATCGCAATTAACAACAGTTCCCACTTAGACCTTTGCTGCAATGTTGCTTTCTCTTCGGGTTGGCTTGGAACGTGCGACCAAAAGTTTTAAAGTTGTGGTTTGCTTAAGACTCGACCCAAATCTAATTTGACAAACATCCTCTTTGTGTTAATTTGGAGGGAACTATGCCTTTTGGCCCCGAGATGATCCAGCTTGTTAATCAGACAGTCACTAAAGTCTGGGCTGTTTGATTTTGGGAGGGTGGAGCACAATGGGTCTCTGTGAGTATGCAGTGTTGGAAGAAAAACTTCAAAACAAATATGCCCAAGAGCATTTGGGATAAACAAGAAACGCACACTCAAAGAATGTTTAACGGGAACAATGTGCTGTTCTGAGAAGTTAAATACAGATAATCTAAGTTGTTGCACATGTAATGATGGAATGACATTTTGGAAGAAACACAGTCTCTGTTTTTGTAGTAGTTCAAGTACGAATAAGTTTTGGATCTTATTGTAATGTGACTATCAGTAGCCAGGGATCCGACACAAGTATGGACGAATATGGAATTGGATTTTGTAAATGTTCAGGTCTGGAAAAATATGGAAAATTGGAAAGTATGGTATGAAAAAAATGAATGAACATCTTTCAAAAAAACTCGAGCTAGGGGTGCAGCGATTAATCGGTTAATCGAACAATAATCGATTATGAAATAAATCAAGAATTATTTTTGACAATTGTTGAATTGTTTTAGAGAGCTTCTCACACATGAAATTGTCCAAATCCTTGGAATTTCAGCCTCTCCCCAGTAAATATTCTCAGACTTATGTAGTCATCCATTAAAGCAGATGGCTTATGTTTGTGCTTTTTTTTCAAAACAAGTCATTTGCAACCATCTGCAACATCTGATTTCACTTTGGAATACAATAATTACAACTTTTGCCGATTTTCTGACAGATGTGACAGACCAAACCCGCAAATGAATCCGAATGAATTCACAGTTGTATAATTTTGGCACCGCCAATTTGAAATCCAAATGGAATATCCTTTTTCTGATAATGTCCGTTAGTTGCGATCAATGCTTTATTTTTTTTTTTTATGACCATAGATGCACAGAACATGACATATTATATGTATCCCATTATTTTTCTATTACTTATTCCATTTCCTTCATCTATGAAGTCTATTTCAAATGCAAATGTACCCTCTTTATTTCGGATGGGCTAATTGATTGTGCGAGCAGACGTTATGGTAAAATGTCCGCCATGTTTGTCACCACGACACATCCACAAACTGACATGTACTGAGTGTCTCTGTTCGGACAGTGTGTTGTTTGTGCGTCATGCCAAGGGCCTGGGGGCTCGCTGAAGGTCAGCGGGCCGAGTCAAGCTGCCTCGGCTGGACGCCTCTGTGCTTGCCAGTGGGAGAGTACTATGATATTAAGCAGGGTCATTCGGGTCTCTGTGTCGACACACAAGAGATGCTTTGTTCACTTCCCCAAAGGGAAGGGTCGAGGTGGTGAGAACGACAACAGCGAGGAGAGGGTGGTGGGGGATTACAGTATGGTGGCCACTCGCGTTCTGATCTTTGTCTATTATATAGGGATGTTCAAGACTACTTTTTTTTTTTTTTTTTTTTAAGACCGATACCATCACATGTACTGTACTCAACCAACTGTGCTCGATGATAACAAGTAACCGATGCCACCGTACTTTCGATACAGAACATTTCTTTGAAACCAATGACTGATCATTTCAAAGAAATGAATTTTTGTTTGTTTCTGACAAAAGGCGGAACGGTCACTCTGCATTTAGAAAATTGAAGTGCAAAATAAAACACAGTTAACTCTGAATTAAGGACTCATTTGGAATAAGTTCACAAAAGCGCAAGATAAAACTGACAAATCCCTGAGTTTTAGTCTTTGTCCAAAATAAATGGAAGTATAAAATAATACAGGCTCATTTGTTAAATGTTGAGCATGACACTCTGAAGTTGGAAAATAGGGACGCTAAAAGAATTGATCATATCAGCTGATATTGATTGTGATAGTTTCTTTTTACCTACCCAAAACAAAAAAAGTATAAAATGGATCAAACATGAAATGTAATAAAATCCAACTCTTGTACTACAAAACAATTAGGCAGCAGGGGAGTATAGCACTCTGAATACTACACAAGAATAAGTCAAAGCATTATGTCGCCTGTACTGAATTCAGAAAAAAAGAGGCCTTATTAATGCACTGAATGATATTTAATTTTTCTCAGTGAAGTAAAGCAGTTAAATGTGTGAAACAAGTACATGCATGAAATATCGTAATGGAGGAAGTCATCATACCACCCAAATCGAGTTAGCAACTAAACGTATAATGTTGGTAGCAGTACACTAATAATGCATGTTAAGCATTAATAAAAACCTTGTAAAGATACATCTGCTTACAGAAATTGCATCTTAATGGGCAAATGAGATGACTGACATGGATGGAGTTCACTTCTTTCAGCCTGCATGCCATTTAGTTTCTGACAGTAAAACGGCCACAACACATTGTTGTGAGTAGCCCATACATTGAAATAAGGCCGATATCGACCCGATAGCGGAACCTGATGTCAGTACTCATTCTTCCCCACTTTATAAATAAAAAAAAAGAAATGAATACTGTGCAAGACTTAACTGTGCTGTTTTGCAGCCATTAGATGAAGGAAAGCCATGTGTAGTACATTCATGGGAACTCTGCAATTAGAGCGTACACATCCGGCACACAGTATACGGTAGTGCAATCCATCACCCGCTTCAACAACGTTTGCCTTCGTCACGAGAATGAATGCTTTGAGATAACTGCGGCTCGGCGATGCTATGTGTATTCCGAACGTCGCCTGTGTACTATGAGGCACAGTTTTACTGTGTCATTAATCACGGCTTCTCGCTTGTGTGTATTTCCTCTTTCTTCGCTCACTCATTAACCCCACTGGGTTTTTGTCAGTGGTGAAGTTTCCAGATACAGCAAGTGTGGATCCTCATTTTTCATTTTTGATTTCTGCAGATTAAACAAAAGGATATCTGCGAAGGCAAGCTTTGTTCATGGTGCTTGTGGTTCAGAGTGTTGGCTAAGCAAATGCAAAGTTCATCTCACAGTGGCATCCATCTGGGAGGTCGGGGCATCCACGGATCAATGGATGGATCATCTGACGAGAAAATAGTTTTGTCCTTTGGCCGTACTCGACACTTCTCAAGAATTTCATCCAAATCTATTCGACTTGTCTCATAAATTAGACAGAAGGCATAACTGTGTAGAGTTAAAAATAGCCGCGGATCAAAAAACCTGGAATGATCACAGTGACAGTGTGTCCTGGAATGTTTATCTGCGATACAAGTGTGAACTGGCTGTTGGAGATAATGTGACAGGATTTTTAGATTTATGACTGGTGTTACATGTTCGGCCCTTGAAATGGAACTTCCTACATTCCTATAAACAGTCAAACCCATCTGCTGCTGAGCTGTAATGTCATCCACTTCAGTTACTTTGTTTTTATCTTTGCGTGTCTTGTTGTTTTGTGTACACGCTCCACTTAATTGCGGAGTTTTGAACCACTTTATTAATTATGGAAGGCTTTTCAAAATGTGCAACAGCTTGTAACATCGATGTATCAAGTTCATCATTCTGCTCGTTTTTTGGATCCTCAGACCTCACAGCTGAAACAAATTAGCCAGAGTTGTGCAGTCTTTACACACCCAACCAGCCACACGCACGCACACACACGCACGCACACTCTTGAAAAACAACATGACTATTTATTTGTGTAGAGATGTGATTTAAGATTACAATTCTTCTTGAGAATTTGAGTGTTTGGTTGAATTGTTTGTTAGAGTGTGCGTGTGGCCGGTAAGTGATGTGAAAATCACTAGTCTACACAATAACATTTCAATGGACACCAACGAGGACAGGACACAAAAGGAATCCTTGAGGTACACCGTTTGCAACCAATATCACTGATCTATCTCATCGAGGTGTTTACAATTCTTGGCCAAATGTTGCACAGGTATGAGTGTAGAAAGAGCACATCGATGCAGCAGCCGCGCTGCATATCACCAAATAACGCACCAGGTTTTGCTACACTTTCGAGGAAATTCAAATTTGACGGACTCTAATCAAACTGAACATTAAATGAGTTGGCAGCAAAATCTAAGGGATTTAAAATAAAGTTGCACTTGGTTGAAATGCGCATATATAAAACACTGTTGCATAAAACTCTCCATAAGGTTGTTTGCTGAGTTAAACAATCAACAGGATTGAATGGCTGTAAATCACTACATTTTAAACTGCGTCAATCCCATCAGCTGTTCACAGTCTCACAGATGCAAGTTGTGTTGAAATGTTCCCGTGTGCGTTATGCATCGATGCGAGACTTAGATCCCAGGCGAGCAAGTGTCAATCTGTGATTACCTGCGCAAAGATGCAGCGATACAATAAAGTGCCTCGGCGATCACCGGAGAAACCCACTCGATTCCTCCACTG